ACTCAGGTCGCACAGGGGCGATACATTCTGTCCCTTCAACATCACTGTTATTAAACCTCTACTGTTGTATTCACTAAACATGACAGAACATTTTTTTAAACTGGATCCTCACCAGAGCTGTGGGGTTCTTGCTGAAGTCTGATGCAGCAGCGCAGTGATTTTGTTTATTGACAAGAAAGGTTCCTTTTCCACGCCTTTAGAAGTATTGAGAATATAGGGTTAGACATATTTTTTTTTATAGACCAATCCGCACTTGGTGGGTGATGTGGTCAGCATCACCTGGCCCCCTTTACTTCCCAGGACTGCACCTGGTACCCACTCAAGACTGGGTCAACCCAGGACTGGACCTGGTACCCACTCAAGACTGGGTCAACCCAGGACTGCACCTGGTACCCACTCAAGACTGGGTCAACCTGGGACTCGGGGTCATTTCTGAATCAAAAGTCAGGCTCCATCAGGATGCAGGCGGGTGTTTAGGGAAGATCCCACAAGTATGTCAGCATCGACTAAGACGAGACAGAAACTAATTCTTCAATAAAACCTTATTGACTTGACTCTGGGCATGTCGCCAGTGAGGATTGTAATTATTGATGCGTGTGTGTGAGTGATACTTTTCTGACCTGATCTTGTTGGTATGCAGTGTTTTTACAATGTATTACTACGTATCTATGTCAGTTAATGCTATATATATATATTATATGTATGTGTGTTGTTTTTTGGGGGATATTTATACTTGTGGGGGCTGAAAGTTAACAAGAAAAACTCATTCTACACCAGTATTTAGGAGCTCTTACATCATCATCATCACCACCACTCTGTTGAATTTTGACAAGCTTGTTAGAATTGATTGTATCAGTGGTGCTGGTGTCATGTATTAGTGGTATGTGTGTTATCAGAGTGAGTGAACCCCTGGGCAGGATACAATATATCAGAGTGTGTGACCAGTTTGTTAGTGACAAATGGGTTAGGACTGGTTGTATGTGTGGTGTCGGTGACATATGTGTAGGACTGGTTGTATGTGTCGTGTCGGTGACATATGTGTGTAGGACTGGTTGTATGTGTGGTGTCGGTGACATATGTGTGTAGGACTGGTTATATGTGGTGTCGGTGACATATGTGTAGGACTGGTTGTATGTGTGGTGTCGGTGACATATGTGTAGGACTGGTTGTATGTGTGGTGTCGGTGACATATGTGTAGGACTGGTTGTATGTGTGGTGTCGGTGACATATGTGTAGGACTGGTTGTATGTGTGGTGTCGGTGACATATGTGTAGGACTGGTTGTATGTGTGGTGTCGGTGACATATGTGTGTAGGACTGGTTGTATGTGTGGTGTCGGTGACATATATATGTAGGACTGGTTGTATGTGTGGTGTCACAGACATATGTGTAGGACTGGTTGTATGTGTCGTGTCACAGACATATGTGTAGGACTGGTTGTATGTGTGGTGTCAGTGACATATGTGTAGGACTGGTTGTATGTGTCGTGTCACAGACATATGTGTAGGACTGGTTGTATGTGTCGTGTCACAGACATATGTGTAGGACTGGTTGTATGTGTGGTGTCAGTGACATGTGTAGGACTGGTTGTATGTGTGGTGTCGGTGACATGTGTAGGACTGGTTGTATGTGTGGTGTCACAGACATATGTGTAGGACTGGTTGTATGTGTGGTGTCGGTGACATATATATGTAGGACTGGTTGTATGTGTGGTGTCACAGACATATGTGTAGGACTGGTTGTATATGTGGTGTCGGTGACATATATATGTAGGACTGGTTGTATGTGTGGTGTCGGTGACATATATATGTAGGACTGGTTGTATGTGTGGTGTCGGTGACATATGTGTAGGACTGGTTGTATGTGTCGTGTCACAGACATATGTGTAGGACTGGTTGTATGTGTGGTGTCGGTGACATATGTGTAGGACTGGTTGTATGTGTGGTGTCGGTGACATATGTGTAGGACTGGTTGTATGTGTGGTGTCGGTGACATGTGTAGGACTGGTTGTATGTGTGGTGTTGGTGACGTATGTGTAGGACTGGTTGTATGTGTGGTGTCACAGACATATGTGTAGGACTGGTTGTATGTGTGGTGTCAGTGACATATAGTTAGGACTGGTTGTGTGTGTGGTGTCGGTGACATATAGTTAGGGCTGGTTGCATGTGTGATGTCAGAGAGTGCCACAAGCTCAAGTAACTTGGTGCCAACACTAAACTCAGACAATGCTCCACATGGCTAAAGACAGCGTGTACCAAATGTCAGTGGACACTGGGGTGTCCTTGCGGTGACAGAATTCTGTGTTTTAACCATGGGAATTTTGTTGTAACAACATATTTTATGCTTGTCTTGGTTACGGAGCTGCCTTGTTGCAATTTAAATTGATTTTTTTTCACAGAAACAACTGGTTAATCTCCTGTTGGTGGTATTGTGAACATGACATGTGTTCTGTAATGTCTGGTTTTAAAACCATATTATATTTTGTTAAAATGTGTGTTCACGAATGGCCAGGTGTTGCTGCTGCACTTTGTAATGCTGTTTGTGTTCCAAGCTTGTGGCAGCTGCCTGGCCATGTGCCCTTGATGTGGAGGCTGCTGACTGGAGGGCTACAGCAACACAGCCTCCGACACATAGCCACACAGATACACTAAGCAATGTTTGTGTTTTTTTCCTCCTCACCTCCGCAGCAAACATGCTCCACCTGAATGTTATAATGATATTGTTATATTTTTTTTTTTCTGAAACTTTAAAACTTCTTGGAGGCTGATGTAGTCAGGGTTTGCAGGTTGACTCTTGGATAATCACTGATTATGGGTTGGCAGGAAACTGTTGGATAGTCACAGGTTATGGGTTGGCAGGGAACTGTTGGATAGTCACAGGTTGTGGGTTGGCAGAGAACTGTTGGATAGTCACAGGTTATGGGTTGGCAGGAAACTGTTGGATAGTCACAGGTTATGGGTTGGCAGGAAACTGTTGGATAGTCACAGGTTATGGGTTGGCAGGAAACTGTTGGATAGTCACAGGTTATGGGTTGGCAGGGAACTGTTGGATAGTCACAGGTTGTGGGTTGGCAGAGAACTGTTGGATAGTCACAGGTTATGGGTTGGCAGGGAACTGTTGGATAGTCACAGGTTGTGGGTTGGCAGGGAACTGTTGGATAGTCACAGGTTATGGGTTGGCAGAGAACTGTTGGATAGTCACAGGTTATGATCAGGGAGGGCACTGTGCGATGATCAAAAGTTGTGAATGCATGGAAACAAACTTGTGGACAATGTTTTTAAGCTATGGGACAGCTCCAAACCAGTGTTTTACAAAAAGTATTAAATTTATAGCACAGGCTGATGGGTGAACTTGAGTGTACCCAGGAAGCTTGGAACCTGAAGATTGGGGTAAGGGAGGGGAGCTGTAAAAAAAGCCGGTCTGACTCCAGAGTGTCAGCAATTCACCTCATCAGACTGGCAGTTGTTTCAGCTGTTGCTGTCCGTCAGCTACTGACTTGGGTGTGTAACTGGCCTGGCTGCACTTTTCAGCCCACCCAACATTTATTTATACAGAGTTGGCTTTACCTCACCTCCAGGAATTGTGGGATGTTTTAGATGAATACCCTCCCAGCTAATACAATCTAGCCAGCCCTTGTCCAAGTGACAAGAGGCCTGCCTGATCAGATGAGAGCCATGTGATGAGCAACATGTGGACAAGTATACTAGCAGGTGTGGCAGGATTCAGCCAACAAATAGTTAGGCAACACAAATACACTGGGGTCGTCACCACAGGCATCCCACTGCTGACAAGATGAACTGTCTGCAGACTTTGGTCACCCACTGTTTGTGTTGCTGTGATTGTCTTGATAGTTTTTTTTAATGTAAAAAAAAAAAGAGAAGGAAAAAAAAACAGTAAAGGACCCTTTTCCACACCTTCAGGCGTATAGGGCTAGGACTTTATTTGTATAGACCAATCGGCACAATGGGTGATGTGGTTAGCATCATGCCGGCCGCCTTTACTTTCCTAGGACTGCACCCGGTACCCACTCAAGGCTGGGTCGACCTGAAAGCCAAGGTCATTTTTGAAAAAGTCCGGCTCCGCCAGGGAGCAAACCCTTGATCTTCCGATCCGCAGCGAGCATCTAGCCGCTTGCCCACGGCGACTCTCAGCTTCCTTTTTTTTAATGGCTCCAATGAAAGTCACAAATCAGGGCTAGGTCAATCACATGATGACACAACAGTGGGGCTATAGACTGGGTCATCCATCAGTCACACAACATTGGTGATATAGACACCGTGATTTTTTGTTCAATGTTAGGAAGGCCGTTGTTTCATGTTTGAGGAATATGATGTACCAGACAGAGACAGTAGGTCAACCTGATTTTGTTGTTCCATGTTTGAGGAATATGATGTGCCAGACAGAGACAGTAGGTCAACCTGATTTTGTTGTTCCATGTTTGAGGAATATGATGTGCCAGACAGAGACAGGAGGTCAACCTGATTTTGTTGTTCCATGTTTGAGGAATATGATGTACAGAGACAGGTCAACCTGATTTTGTTATTCCATGTTTGAATCATCAAAGTTTATTTTTGACAATGTCCTTTGGCTGTTGTTGTGTACATAATAACATGAGTCTGACTATGACAATATTTTTATGAGAAATAAAACTGTGAAACTAAACATGTTCTCCCAACCTCCCTCTCTCTCTGTCTATATTTGGTCTATCTCTGACTCCATATCTCTTTCTCTTTGGTCTGTTTCTGACTCCATATCTGTGTCTATCTATGACTTCACATGTCTCTCTATTTCTATCTCTACTCCATATCTGTCTGTTTCTATCATGGTCTTCATATTTATCGCTGTGTGCCTGTCTGTCTCTCTACATATATATTTCGCTGTGCTCATTTGGTGCTATCCCTGCAACACTCTCTCTCACATGTGTGTGCATGTGCATTTGTGTGTAGACCTGATATGGCCAAACACTCTCTCTCTAGCATGTGTCTGGGGCCACACACATATTCACCGCTGACGTGTTGTCCCAAGCAAAAGATTGTTCTTCGGAGAGCAAGCTGGCGGCGTCAACATGCACAGGGTCACCAAGTAGCCCACCTCTCGGGCATGCTCGGCCCTGTCGGTATCCACCAGATTCATACACAGCCGACCTGAAAATACACAAACTGACTTCAGTAACTTTCTGGCTAGCTATCTTTATCTCTATCCTTGAGTAAGGCTAGCTATCTTCATCTTGGTGCTTGAGTAACTTTCTGGTTGGCTATCTTTATTTCTGTGCTTGAGTAACTTTCTGGTTGGCTATCTTCATCTCTGTGCTTGAGTAACTTTTTGGTTGGCTATCTTCATCTCTGTGCTTAAGTAAGTTTTTGGCTGGCTATCTTTATCTCTGTGCTTGAGTAACTTTCTGGTTGGCTATCTTCATCTCTGTGCTTGAGTAACTTTTTGGTTGGCTATCTTCATCTCTGTGCTTCAGTAACTCTTTGGCTGGCTATCCTTATTTCTGTGCTTCAGTAACTTTCTGGCTGGCTATCTTCATCTCTGTGCTTGAGTAACTTTCTGGCTGGCTATATTTATCTCTGTGCTTCAGTAACTTTTTGGCTGACTATCTTTATCTCTGTGCTTCAGTAACTTTCTGGCTGGCTATCTTTATCTCTGTGCTTAAGTAACTTTCTGGTGCTGGTGCTTACCTACAGCGGACTTTAAATGCTGTTCAATCTTTGTATTACTATCGCCACCCCCCTTCTGACTTCTGTTGGACAGTCTGCAATGCTGTTCAATCTTTGTATTACTATCGCCATCCTCCTTCTGACTTCTGTTGGACAGTCCACAATGCTGTTCAATCTTTGTATTACTATCGCCATCTTCCTTCTGACTTCTGTTGGACAGTCCACAATGCTGTTCAATCTTTGTATTACTATCGCCATCTTCCTTCTGACTTCTGTTGGACAGTCCGCAATGCTGTTTAATCTTTGTATTACTATCGCCATCTTCCTTCTGACTTCTGTTGGACAGTCCGCAATGCTGTTTAATCTTTGTATTACTATCGCCATCTTCCTTCTGACTTCTGTTGGACAGTCCACAATGCTGTTCAATCTTTGTATTACTATCGCCATCTTCCTTCTGACTTCTGTTGAACAGTCCGCAATGCTGTTTAACATGGAGCCCAGATGAATCAATCAGTGAACTGTTAAATTAATAAACAAGGCAAACAACTTCAAGAGGCCTCAGAGATGTGGTCTTACAGCAGAATGCTTACAATCCCTCTGAGAGCCTGCATGAATATGCCACAAGTTTTGAAAGAGGCAAGGACCCAAGCACAACTTATCTATGTGCATTGGAGACTGACACAAGTCAAAAGGAGGATGGCAGTAGCAATACAGAGATTAAACAGCAATAAATGTCTGTGGGTAAGCAGCAGCAAAGAAAATCAAGCTGAAAACGATATATTCCCTGAAGCAACATACGTAGGTGAGTGGTGGACCTTTGAAGGCATGTATATTCCCTGAAGCAACATACGTAGATGAGTGGTGGACCTTTGAAGGCATGTATATTCCCTGAAGCAACATACGTAGATGAGTGGTGGACCTTTGAAGGCATGTATATTCCCTGTAGCAACATACGTAGGTGAGTTGAGGACCTTTGAGGGCATGCCTATTTTCTGTAGCAACATACGTAGGTGAGTGGTGGACCTTTGAAGGCATGTATATTCCCTGTAGCAACATACGTAGGTGAGTTGAGGACCTTTGAGGGCATGCCTATTTTCTGTAGCAACATACGTAGGTGAGTGGTGGACCTTTGAAGGCATGTATATTCCCTGTAGCAACATACATAGGTGAGTGGTGGACCTTTGAAGGCATGTATATTTCCTGAAGCAACATATGTAGGTGAGTGGTGGACCTTTGAAGGCATGTATATTCCCTGAAGCAACATATGTAGGTGAGTGGTGGACCTTTGAAGGCATGTATATTCCCTGAAGCAACATATGTAGGTGAGTGGTGGACCTTTGAAGGCATGTATATTCCCTGAAGCAACATATGTAGGTGATTGGTGGACCTTTGAAGGCATGTATATTCCCTGTAGCAACATATGTAGGTGAGTGGTGGACCTTTGAGGGCATGTATATTTCCTGAAGCAACATATGTAGGTGAGTGGTGGACCTTTGAAGGCATGTATATTCCCTGAAGCAACATATGTAGGTGAGTGGTGGACCTTTGAGGGCATGTACTGAAGCAACATATGTAGGTGAGTGGTGGACCTTTGAAGGCATGTATATTCCCTAAAGTAATATATGTAGGTGAGTGGTGGACCTTTAAAGGCATGTATATTTCCTGAAGCAACATACATAGGTGAGTGGTGGACCTTTGAGGGCATGAATGTTCCCTATAGCAACAGGTGAATGGTGAACTATCTCCCAGTCATCAGGAGGAGACAGTCATAATGTTTCAGCCATGCTATGGGAAGAGGGAAATAGACGGCTGGAAAGAGAGATAGAGGAAGACAAAATGAAAAGATTCTTGACAATTGATTGATGTGGCATGGAGGGCGGTCAGCACATGAACTAATGCTGCTGTTGGAGGGAGGTCAGCACATGAACTAATGCTGCTGTTGGAGGGAGGTCAGCACATGAACTAATGCTGCTGTTGGAGGGAGGTCAGCACATCAACTAATGCTGCTGTTGGAGGGAGGTCAGCACATCAACTAATGCTGCTGTTGGAGGGAGGTCAGCACATCAACTAATGCTGCTGTTGGAGGGAGGTCAGCACATCAACTAATGCTGCTGTTGGAGGGAGGTCAGCACATCAACTAATGCTGCTGTTGGAGGGAGGTCAGCACATGAACTAATGCTGCTGTTGGAGGGAGGTCAGCACATCAACTAATGCTGCTGTTGGAGGGAGGTCAGCACATGAACTAATGCTGCTGTTGGAGGGAGGTCAGCACATCAACTAATGCTGCTGTTGGAGGGAGGTCAGCACATCAACTAATGCTGCTGTTGGAGGGAGGTCAGCACATGAACTAATGCTGCTGTTGGAGGGAGGTCAGCACATGAACTAATGCTGCTGTTGGAGGGAGGTCAGCACATCAACTAATGCTGCTGTTGGAGGGAGGTCAGCACATCAACTAATGCTGCTGTTGGAGGGAGGTCAGCACATCAACTAATGCTGCTGTTGGAGGGAGGTCAGCACATCAACTAATGCTGCTGTTGGAGGGAGGTCAGCACATGAACTAATGCTGCTGTTGGAGGGAGGTCAGCACATGAACTAATGCTGCTGTTGGAGGGAGGTCAGCACATCAACTAATGCTGCTGTTGGAGGGAGGTCAGCACATGAACTAATGCTGCTGTTGGAGGGAGGTCAGCACATGAACTAATGCTGCTGTTGGAGGGAGGTCAGCACATCAACTTATGCTGCTGTTGGAGGGAGGTCAGCACATGAACTAATGCTGCTGTTGGAGGGAGGTCAGCACATGAACTAATGCTGCTGTTGGAGGGAGGTCAGCACATGAACTAATGCTGCTGTTGGAGGGAGGTCAGCACATGAACTAATGCTGCTGTTGGAGGGAGGTCAGCACATGAACTAATGCTGCTGTTGGAAGGAGGTCAGCACATCAACTAATGCTGCTGTTGGTGAGCAGGGGTTATGGTGAGGCGTGATCGCCTGTGGGTTGTAACGCTTTTGTGGGTCAAAAGACCCTTTAACAGAGGTCACCCAAGACCATAGGAAAACACATATTCATTGAAGTAGCAACGATAAATAATTGTATGACTGGGGGGATCATGACAACATGAGGAACCATATTAAAGGTTGTGGCATTAGGAAGGTTGAAAACCGCAGGCATGCAGCATTCAGCAAGACACTAGATGATGATGGTAAATTGGTATCTAAATACTGTGACACCAAACAGTGGGTGGTTTCTGCCCTGCTTCTGTCCTTCGCTGCTGAAAAGGTCAGTAATTTCACAGGTCAGTTCTATAGGATCAAGGGGCAGCTGATTGGACCAATCCAGGCCCAGAAATGTCTGCTACAAAGAGGGACAAAAGTATTGACCCTTCTTTATCGTTGGTGTGAGTTATGTAATAGCACTGTGCCTGTTTGAAGCATAGCTGCTATGTTTGCACCTTTTGACCGACACATTCAACTTCTTTTGTTATCTGGGTTAGCCTTCCTGGTTAGTTTTGTAAGACATGTTGCAACCATCGGCTGTTTAGTCATCATCTCTGCCACCTGGTCTACAGGTCTTGACTCTTGATATTAACAACAGGTAGTGGAAAAAAAGGAACAACAGATACAGAGAGACTGACACAAAACACTTGGGTGTATCAAAAGAAGCTCCAATGAAGACTTACCTTGTGCCTCTAAAGCAATGTTGAACTCTGTCTGATCTGCTGCATGTCCTAGAGTCAAGAAGTCCTACAAAAGCAGTAATACAGTCAGTTGTAATACATGTTTCTTCCTGTTCATTTTCTTCTTCTGCATTTCTTCACCTTCTTCTTCTTCTACATCTTTTCCTTTTTTCTACTTCTTCTTCTACTACATCTTTCCCTTTCTTCTTCTTTTTCTTCTTCTGCATTTTCTTTACCTTCTTCTTCTTCCTTTTCTTCTTCTTCTGTTTCTTTTTCAAAAGGCCAATGGGACATTGTGTTGTGGCTGGGTTATAAGCACCTTTCAGCCCGACACATCAGCAAACTCCTCATTAGTCATCTTCTATTAAATGCTAATATCCCCCCCCCCCCCGGCCACCCTCTAGCAAGCATGTCATAAAAGGCAACTCTTTCGACCAGTCTGCCAAAATGTGAGGCACAGATGTTGCAGAGTAGCTGTAAATCAAAATACAATGTGCAACTGCACAGTTCATCCTGTTGCCCAGAGAAAGCCAGTTTTCTGGCTTATACAGGCTTTGATGACATGACCTCTTTGGCAAGAGGTCAATACATTGATATCACAACAACTGTGGTGCTGGCAGAACTGTCTAGTATGTAGACAAGCTGCTATGAGTATATTTAAACAAACATGCTTTATTTTTGCAGTGTCCACAAAACTCCTGCTTTCTTGCTCAAAGGGAAGGAAAGCAGTTACTTCTTTGCTGTGTGTGTAGTGATTACTTCCCTTCATTTATAATTAAAAAAAAAATATATATATATATATATATATATATATATATATATATATATATATATATATATATATATATATATATATATATATATATATATATATATATATATATATATATATATATATATAAATCACCTTTGTGAAAAATTTGAAAAATTGCTTGTAAGTGACCTGGAGGTTGCCGTCACCCAAGAGCTACCATGCTTGCAGCTGATTGTTTTAAGCCATTGCAATTGTATAAACACCGAGAAAGACTGCAGATTTATTGTGTTCCTGATTCTCTGTGTCTAGTTTCTTGCAGACCGGTGACCCTGTTTATTTACCAGCTAGACTTATCACCACAAGGGGGAGCAGCAGCTGGCTCAGTGGTAAGAAATATGGGCTCTCATGTGAGATACCCTGGTTCAAAACATTAGTTGTCATTCACAAACATGAAAAACCCTAATTGACACAGCTGATGACAACTGAGCCATGTAGCCCTAAATCCTCAGGCCTAGGATACACCCCCCCCCCCCCCCCCCCCTATCTATACGGCCCTAACAGTGGTACTATAGGCAACTATATTCAACTCTAAGAAAGACAGTCGGTGTACTTTGGTCATATGATGAGAAGAGAGGCACTGCAGAAGATCACAGTGTATGCAAATTTCGATCAACAACAGAAGAGGCAGACCAAGCGATGGCATGAAGTCATCAGCACAAGTGATTCAAAATACCAGGGACAAAGATCTGTGAAGAGACATGAGTGCTTATGCCGCTGGGCAGGGCACTATCTGAGAGTGATAGGCAGCGCAGAAAGTTGTTTTTTCCTCCAGGATTTATACGATGGGCAAATAGATTTGTTAAGTTTGTGGCAGGTGTGGGTTCCAGGGCCCTGTGTGGGTTCCAGGGCTCTGTGTGGGTTCCAGGGCTCTGTGTGGGTTCCAGGGCCCTGTGTGGGTTCCAGGGCTCTGTGGGTTCCAGGGCTCTGTGTGGGTTCCGGGGCTCTGTGTGGGTTCCAGGGCCCTTGTGTGGGGATACAAAAGTACAGACCCACTACTGCCCTAACAAGCATGCTGTAAAAGTAGACTAATGAGGAGTCTTTGCTCCAAGTACATCTGCATGAGAGATAGGGAACCAATAGTCGGCTTACAAATAAGTCAGATGTGTAAAATGCATCTGCATGAGAGATAGGGAACCAATAGTCGGCTTACAAATAAGTCAGATGTGTAAAATGCATGTGCCTGAGAGATAGGGAACCAATAGTCGGCTTACAAATAAGTCAGATGTGTAAAATGCATCTGCATGAGAGATAGGGAACCAATAGTCGGCTTACAAATAAGTCAGATGTGTAAAATGCATCTGCATGAGAGATAGGGAACCAATAGTCGGCTTACAAATAAGTCAGATGTGTAAAATGCATGTGCATGAGAGATAGGGAACCAATAGTCGGCTTACAAATAAGTCAGATGTGTAAAATGCATCTGCATGAGAGATAGGAAACCAATAGTCGGCTTACAAATAAGTCAGATGTGTAAAATGCATGTGCATGAGAGATAGGGAACCAATAGTCGGCTTACAAATAAGTCAGATGTGTAAAATGCATCTGCATGAGAGATAGGGAACCAATAGTCGGCTTACAAATAAGTCAGATGTGTAAAATGCATGTGCATGAGAGATAGGGAACCAATAGTCGGCTTACAAATAAGTCAGATGTGTAAAATGCATGTGCATGAGAGATAGGGAACCAATAGTCGGCTTACAAATAAGTCAGATGTGTAAAATGCATGTGCATGAGAGATAGGGAACCAATAGTCGGCTTACAAATAAGTCAGATGTGTAAAATGCATGTGCATGAGAGATAGTGAACCAATAGTCGGCTTACAAATAAGTCAGATGTGTAAAATGCATGTGCATGAGAGATAGGGAACCAATAGTCAGCTTACAAATAAGTCAGATGTGTAAAATGCATATGCATGAGAGATAGAGAACCAATAGTCGGCTCACAAATAAGTCAGATGTGAAAATTGCTTGTGCATGAGAGATAGGGAACCAATAGTCGGCTCTCAAATAAGTCAGATGTGAAAATTGCTTGTGCATGTAAACTCAAGTTCTGATAATAGACTGAAGTTCAGAAGTGCACAAATAACCACAACATTCCACCAGTTTACAGCAGCAGAATGCACAGAAGAAGAAAAGATTCCACAAATTATTTTCAAAGTCTGTAAAGAACAACAATTTACCTGAGAGAAAAAGGGATGTAAAATAAATGACTACAAAGGGGCATCATATATCCTAAATAAATACGGCCTTTTAAATGACAACTAAATCTATCTGTACCTTGTATGAGATGCCTGCATCCACAAACTGCTGGCTTTGAGGGTAAGACAACAAGTGTGTTTTCTGGATGCTGCCATAGCAACAGGGACAGATGACAAACGAGGCCTGGCAGTCAAGGCACAGTTGTAAGACCATGTCAGTGGCAGATCCACAGGCATGCAGGCAAACCCCCACATCAAATGTTCCGATAAAGTAGTCCAGATTACACTAAGATAGAAAGGTTACAACCAAGTTTGTGGTGGAAAACATATCCATTGAATATGAACTGTGAATTGGAGGGAGAGATATGGGTTCAGAGAGGCAGAAAATGTCAGAGGTATAAAAGGGACAACAAGGACAGAGAAACAGACACAGAGGGAAAAGAGAGATATATAGTGAGACGTGAAGACAGAGATGAGTGAACAGAGATAAAGAGAAGTATAGAGAGATAAAAATAGCAGTGAAGAGAGATAGAGAGAAGTGGAGAGATAAAAATAGGAGTGAAGAGAGAAAGTGAGAAGTGAAGAGAAATAGAGAGGAGTGAAGAGATATAGAGAGGAGTGAAGAGAAATAGAGAGGAGTGAAGAGATATAGAGAGGAGTGAAGAGATATAGAGAGGAGTGAAGAGATATAGAGAGGAGTGAAGAGAAATAGAGAGGAGTGAAGAGTGAAGAGATATAGAGAGGAGTGAAGAGATATAGAGAGGAGTGAAGAGATATAGAGAGGAGTGAAGAGAAATAGAGAGGAGTGAAGAGATATAGAGAGGAGTGAAGAGAAATAGAGAGGAGTGAAGAGATATAGAGAGGAGTGAAGAGATATAGAGAGGAGTGAAGAGAAATAGAGAGGAGTGAAGAGATATAGAGAGGAGTCAAGAGGTATACACAGACAGGTAGAGAAATGTAAACAAGGAAGCTCAAACAGTAGTAAGGCAATAGAAAGACAGGCAAAGAGAAAGTAAAGTGAGAGAGACAGCAATCACACAGAGAAAAGAGGAAGACACATACATAAGACTCAGAAGAGTAAAATGGGAGAGACAGAGACAAGCACAGAGAAGAATGAAGAGAGATAAACAGACAGAAAAAAGTAAAAGGAGACAGACAGGCACACAGAAGAGTAAAGTGACACAGACAAGCAAAGATGCAGATTAAAGTCAGACAGACAGAAATAGAGACAGAGAGAGAGAGAGAGAGAGTACCTGGTACATGGTGACGTTTGTGAGTGCTAGAGCATGAAGCCTGGAACAGGCCTTCAGTAGCGACTCCTCTTTGTTCTCTACCAGATACACCTGGCAATAGTCATCATCATCATCATAAATATCATGCCCATTGTACACAAAAGGATGATCAACATTATCATAATTTGTCATTTTCACTCATGGAATTATCGCTAAGATTATACACCCATGGAATTATCAGAACCATGAGAATTATAGTTATCATTATTAAGATTACACAGACAAATGAAATTTCGTAATCATCAAAATTATACAATTATCAAGAGTATAGACACTATTTGAATTATCCCAAAAATCAAAATGATAGTTTTAATGATTAAGAATATAGACACTAACACAATAAGCACATCTAGGCATAGCTTGACAGTTGTCGGCTGTCCCCTGTTAGCTTTTTAATATCTGGGCCGTGTTTCTGGCCTCCTTGTGTGTCGACAGTGTGCATGTATATCTCTCCTTCACACACAATGAGCCCATGTACATCTAAACTCAAGAAGACAGAGATGTTAGTTAGCTGGTTAGTTAAACAACAGATTCTCCTAACTGCACAACAGACATGTTAGTTAGCTGGTTAGTTCAACAACAGATTCTCCTAACTGCACAACAGACATGTTAGTTAGCTGGTTAGTTCAACAACAGATTCTCCTAACTGCACAACAGACAAGTCCACAAGACACAAATGTGCTGGGTCCAAAAACACTGTTGCAGTCTCTGAGGAGATTGAGATTGATCAGTTCTATTGTCATTCCAGGATAGGCAGCTGTCAAAGTAAATGAGCGAGCTGATAGGTTTGCAGGTGAGGGCAAGATGGAGGGGGAGTCATGGACCAGACCAGTGGTTGGCAAATCTTTTAGCGACCCGAGTGTGGCTCGGCCAGTCGGCCATAAATCGGTTTTGACTTCGAAAAAACATGGTTCTTGAAAAGAAATTTGGCTCTCAAAAAATGTTTAATAGTTTCTGCTGACTTCTGGCTCTTTCATCTAAAATGTTTGCTGACCACTGGACCAGACTGATATACTGAATGCTCTGTGAGAAGTAAGAACACCAAGTGAAATTAGTGAGGCCAGACAACAGCACTCTAGAGGAAGTGAAAGACAACAAAGAAATTGTGTTGGCAGCTGCTAAATGCTTAAAAGATTTACTGAGGAGGGGATCTGCCCACTTATGGACTGTTAGGTTCTTGTGCAATAATAAAGATGATCTGTTGCTCAAACCAACATCTGGTGTCACCCAGACTGTGATCATGAGATCATTAGGTTCCACAACTGTAACATACCAGCAGCCAGAATTCCAAAAATCAGTTCTGACCAAACACAAACTACAAAGGCTACACTCTGGAGCTCTTACCTGGCAATCTGGCAACAAGTAAGCCAATATGATGCCCAAATGTCCCTGAAAGTACAACATGGCAAATGTTCAGTGACAGGTATCAGAACAAAAGTAGGAATAATAAAGTTACTGAGGTCTAAAAACAGTGTGCATTTTCTATATTGGTAGTAGATTTTTATCAAACGATTTGGTAGAAAAAAATCCCATACAGAGCCTCATTTGAGCATCTGAGAATGCCAGGTCAGCGGCGACATAAAATGGAAATGTTTCTGTACAAAATGAAAATATCTTTCCTGTTGTAAAAGTTGTTGCCCTTGTCTTTGTTTTCATAGTTTGGCACTTGTTACAGTAGGAGTCCCTGTATTCACCAAGATTCAAGCACATGGTATCATCATTACCAAACCCTTCCGAGCTGCCATCATGAGAGATGAATGGGACCAATGGATGAAGTCATCTGAAGACAAGCTGACACCAACAAGTAGTGGGGAAGAAACCAACTGTAGGAGAAGTTTGTATCTGGGATCATGTGAAGACTGAGATCGTCAGCAAGTCATTCAAGAAATGTGGCATTTCAAATACCACAGATGGAACTGAGGATGAGGCAATATATGAAGACAGTTATTTATCATCTGACAGATGAGGACTGGCTAAAAAACTATGGTTGAGAGTTTTGACAGTGATGAGTTTTCTGAATTCTAGGATGAATAAAACCTGACTTCAATAATTTTAAGTAATCATATTATTTTTGTTTAAATCAAAATTTCTATTCTCAAAATCAAGGTGCGTTTTACATATGGGATGGTCTTATACTTGGGGAAATATGGTCGTTATTATTAATCCGTTAATCATAGATCCAATTTCAAAGCAAACGGTTCACAGCTTAAATGTACCAGCAAAAAACCACACAGAATGTCTATCACAGTCCCTTGTAAACAACTTTAAACAGACTGCAGTCTCTGCCAAGTCAACAGCATACACATGCATTAAATGCATAAGGTAGCCAGTATACAATATGCCAGCAATAACATATCGTGAGCTGTGGAGTTAATTCAGAAAGCTTGTTGTCTGTGCCCAGCATAGTTTGTGTTGTGAACTGTAAACTCAGAAAATGGTGAGTGGCCCACTGTTAGAGAAATGGTAATTCCTTATGCAATACTGTATGTGTAACTCCAAATCTGTTGTAATTACTGCTTCCATCAATGATTTCTAGTGGTAGACAGCTTGAGTTGGCACTTCTGATGCCTGCCTTATGAACATAATGTGTGTCTATGCTTTTGTGTCGAGGCTTCAGTCTGTTTCAATATTTCCACAAGGGGCAGTGATAGACATTGTATGTGGTTTTCAGTGGCATGGGAGTGGAGCAACTATAGAGTGACCTGCCTGCCATGAAATTGGCAACACAATTAACTGATTAAAACTCCAATACTTGATATCTCTGACCATACTTGAATATCTATATATAGACTAAAAATGGAAATCTATTGTTTAAAACAATGTTGACAGTCAAAAGGATTGATTTAATAGCACTGGGTTTTATCATACAGGGTTAGGTCTTTCTAGGCGGAGAGCATGACATAAAGCAGCAGCTCTGTAGCTCAAGCAACAGTCTAAAAAAAAATGAACCGGTGACCTTTAGGGTGCAAGGCAAACAGCCAATCTATGTCTCCGTGTAATTTATAAGTGGATATCTTAAGTTTACAATCTCCCGAGAAAAACTAGATACCTATAGTTTTCTTCCTTTTAATGCACACCGGCTGTAAACTTTGGTGAAAAGTTCTGGCTGTTCTGCCACTTCTCAACTTTAGTCTTGTTCCAGAATAGAGTTTTACATGTACATCCGTTTCACAGTACAGACTTATTTGTAAGCAGACTGTTGGTTGCTGGCCACTCAGGCAGATGTTCTCTGACTTTGAAGGAAAACCACAGATTAGTCACCCTTTACGACATGCTTGTTAGGAATCAGTGGGTCTATTTCTGCCCCAGTTTACAGCCGATGAACACTCAAAATAACTACAGTATCTCATAACAATAAGAGTTTTAAATGACAAGGAGAAAAGTGTATAATGACAACAAAAACTAGCATCAACTAATAAAAACTAGCATCAACTAACAAAAACTAGCATCAACTAACAAAAACTAGCAGCAACTAACAAAAACTAGCATCAACTAAAAAAAACTAGCAGCAATTAACAAAAACTAGCAGCAATTAACAAAAACTAGCAGCAACTAACAAAAACTAGCATCAACTAACAAAAACTAGCAGCAACTAACAAAATCTAGCATCAACTAACAAAAACTAGCAGCAACTAACAAAAACTAGCAAAAACTAGCAGCAACTAACAAAAACTAGCAGCAACTAACAAAAACTAGCCGCAACTAACAAAAACTAGCAGCAACTAACAAAAACTAGCATCGACTAACAAAAACTAGCATCGACTAACAAAAAACTAGCATTAACTAACAAAAACTAGCATCAACTAACAAAAACTAGCATCAACTAACAAAAACAATCAGCACTCCTGACCCCTCCACTACAGAAGTCGACAAGGACATCGCCAGGTGTGTACAACGTCTGCACAGCCGTGACCAGGTTTTCCAGCTGCTGACACTTCCTCTCTGTCCGGCTCTTGGGGACATCACCTGAAATATTGGACAAATCTGACCAGATATTCATAGAAACAACCAACCACGCGGTCCTATCTCCAGACAGATCAAAATCATGTACTGATTAGAGACCCATTAGATATAGATGGTCAATATTTCTGTGTAGACAGTCAATATTTCTGTGTAGACGGTCAATATTTCTGTGTAGACGGTCAATATTTATGTGCAGACGGTCAATATTTCTGTGTAGACGGTCAATTTTTATGTGTATATGGTCAATATATGTAAATGGTCAATATCTGAGTAGATGGTCAATATTTATATGTAGACAGTCAATATTTCTGTGTATATGGTCAATATTTCTGTAAAGGTAAAGGCAAAGTCAGGAGATGTGAACGAGTGTTATTACACACGGTTATAAACTATTAAGTTCTCTGCTACCAGTAAGGACAGCTGATAAGAAACTGTCCGTCTGTGTCGCCATCCGCATGCAACTCCCTAGTTAAAGCGACATCCCTCCATTTACCTCAGAGTATTAACTCTCGTACCCATTACCTAGAGGCTGGGTGAACCCCGGGAACCGTCCGGTTTCGAACACCAGCTGTGGGCTGCAGTGAGTCACAGCTGGATTTCAAAGTGAGTCTCCTATCGACTGTCCTAACGCGGCTCCAAATATTTCTGTGTAGACGGTCAATATTTCTGGACATGTTTTAAGGAGTCAGAGTCTGTGACTTAAGCGCTGCAAATGCACTCTGTAATCCAGACTTGTCGCATCATGTGAGATGGCAAAAAATGACCACCTACCATTATCTACAGGACCCATGATGATGATGAGACAGAAGACAGATGGAATGACTTTAAGCTTCACACCTTTGACCCAGGAGCAGGTGATGCTGAGATGAATCCTTTCAGTCTCAAACAACAACACACTGTGTCTAGTTAGTAAGTTAGGTAGTCGACAGATTATCCTCATTGCACGTCAAACCACTCAGTCCATAAGTGCTCCGATCCCCTCCTCAGTCAATCCTGCAGCGTGTAGCGGCTAACGACACCAGTTCTGTGTTGATTTATTATTCTTCTTTGGCTACCCGCGTAGTATTCTTGTTTGGCGACGCCCCGTTTAAGATGTTGTTCTTGCACGCAAATGTCTTAACTCTCTTAGAGCATTCAATATATCAGCCTGGTCCATGGCTTGTCCGGCTTTCACAGAAGCCTTGTCTGCAAGTGTATCAGCGTGCTCATTTCCTTGTATCCCCCCCCCCCCCCCCCCATATCCTGGCATGAAAATGAAATTCATGCTTGTCAGCCGTGAGTTCTGTAGAGCCACCAACCACTGCCTTGGGACCCAGCCCTTCTCTATCTTCCTGAGCATTCTCATCGAGTCACTGAGAAAGCATCCCCCAGTGAAAGTCTGTGTCTCTCTGCTATGTTAGTGCTTTAGTCACAGCCATGACCTCCACACACTGTGCCTGTGTGTATCAAACAACTTCTGACTACAGGACATTTCAGATTGGCCACATAGTTACCATATCAGTTTGCACAATGCAGGATCGTTCAGTTTAACTGTCATGGCTTCCACTACTTTTAGTAAATGTCTGTTCAGTCTGTGGTAAAATCAGGAGGGTTGGTGCGAGACCAACCAATGACCAAGTCTATAAAGGGGTTAGCTCCACAGCAGAAGATGGAGGAGGAAGAAAAGGTGAAGAATGAAGAGGAGAAGAAGAGAAGAGGCAAAGGAAGAGAAGAAGAAAAGAAACAGAAGAAAAAAAAAATAATAATAATAATAAGAAGAAGAAGAAGAAGAAGAAGAAGAAGAAGAAGAAGATAGAAGAAAAAAAAATAAGAAGAAGCAGAAAACAAAGAAGACTGAAGAAAAGGAAGAAAAAGAAAGAAAAGTGATAGAATGACAGAGAAGAAAAACAACTACCCAGACAAAATGGTTCAGTTCCTACAATGACAGCGCAGAGACAGTAATACACACTGAAAAGAACCCAACTGTCACCTTCTCTGGGGTGGACCCCTGCAGGCAGATGGTCCCAGGTGATCCCAACATCAGCTCCACATGGGTGGCTCCCTATCACTGGCCTGAGATTAGCCAGCTGTAGATAAGTCAATGAAATATCAATAAGAGACTTTCACATCCAAAAATAACAGAACAAGTCACTTATGCAGCAGACATTGCTGGTTCAACGTTCACATTAACTAGTTTAAAATATGAGCTGTCTATCCTTTAGAAGGCACTGCAGAACCAAAGTTTGCCATTGCTGTCTGAACAGTGATGCTAAATAAAATTGTTGAAATCAACCCAAAGTGGTGCTGCCAGATTAAATGCACACTGTTCCTGCAAGACTGTTCTCTCCTGGAAGAGCTGTGAAGCAACATGTGGCCACACCCAGTAGACCCGACCACTGACCTTTAGAAAAACCTTAGAGACTTCAAGCCGACCTCCCAGTTCATGAACAGCAGGGGATTAAGTGCATGACTTGAGATCACTGAAAAATAGGAATAAATCAAATCTTCTCTTCTCCTTTAGCATAACCTTTAGATTTCTGCAGCTAGTCTTCCTATGGTTTAGCTTGCACATGTAACAAACAATTCACGGACCTTGTTGAGCTTCAGAAGATTTAGCCCCCCGTGTGGGTTCCGGGGCCCCATTGTGGGGAAAACAAGAATAGACCCACTGCCTCCCCAAAAGCATGTAGTAAGAGTCGACTAATTGGGGAGCTTCCTTTGAAGTCGGAGTGCATCTGCCGGAGAGGCAAGGAACCAACAGTGTCTATTCAAGAGAATGAGATCTGTAAAACTGATGCACACGCAACACTCAGCTTCTGGAGCAGGACTGCAGTTCAGTAGTGGATGAGCAACCAGAACCTTCCGCCAGAGTTTACAGCTGGTGAACGCGAAGAAGAAGAAGAAGATTTAGCAGCATCTGCCCACAGAAGACAACAACCACAATCAAACAATGTGACTATGACTTGTACAAAAGCAACATAGATACTCCATTATTAATGACAGCAACAAAATCCTAGGTGTTCCATATCCACTGTGGCTGAATACACAATCCTCGCAGGGGAAAAGTGCATTGTTTGAATGTCTGAGTCAGCTTCAGATATACAGACATACATAACATGTTGACTGGTGCATATGAAAAATATCTAGTCACTTGGAGGGCATTTTTTTCTGCGTACTTAACTCTTTCACTTTGAAGGACCTAACCATGAACAGCTGAAAGACCTAACATGACCTAATGAAATGCTAAAAGACCTAATGAACATCTGAAAGACCAAATTTGAACCTAATGAACAGCTGAAAGACCTAATTTGAACCTAATGAACAGCTGAAAGACCTAAAATGAACCTAATAAACAACTGAAAGACTTAAAATGAACCTAATGAACAACTGAAAGACCTAACATGAACCTATTGAACAGCTGAAAGACTTAAAATGAACCTAATGAAGAACTGAAAGACCTAACACAAACTTGGTGAATAATTGAAAGACCTAGTACAACTGTAATGAATAGATGAAAGACCTAACACAAATGTAATGAATAGATGAAAGACCTAACACAAATGTAATGAATAGATGATAGACCTAGTACAAATGTAATGAATAGATGAAAGACCTAACACAAATGTAATGAATAGATGAAAGACCTAACACAAATGTAATGAATAGATGAAAGACCTAGTACAAATGTAATGAATAGATAAAAGACCTAGTACAAATGTAATGAAGATGAAAGACCTAGTACAAATGTAATAAAGATGAAAGACCTAGTACAAATGTAATGAATAGATGAAAGACTTAACACAAACCTGTTGAATAACTGAAAGACCTAACACAAACTTGGTGAATAATTGAAAGACCTAATACAAATGTAATGAATAGATGAAAGACCTAGTACAAATGTAATGAATAGATGAAAGACCTAGTACAAATGTAATGAATAGATGAAAGACCTAGGACAAATGTAATGAATAGATGAAAGACCTAGTACAAATGTAATGAATAGATGAAAGACCTAGGACAAATGTAATGAATAGATAAAAGACCTAGTACGAATGTAATGAAGATGAAAGACCTAGTACAAATGTAATGAATAGATGAAAGACTTAACACAAACCTGTTGAATAACTGAAAGACCTAACACAAACTTGGTGAATAATTGAAAGACCTAATACAAATGTAATGAATAGATGAAAGACCTAGTACAAATGTAATGAATAGATGAAAGACCTAGTACAAATGTAATGAATAGATGAAAGACCTAGGACAAATGTAATGAATAGATGAAAGACCTAGTACAAATGTAATGAATAGATGAAAGACCTAGGACAAATGTAATGAATAGATAAAAGACCTAGTACGAATGTAATGAAGATGAAAGACCTAGTACAAATGTAATGAATAGATGAAAGACTTAACACAAACCTGTTGAATAACTGAAAGACCTAACACAAACTTGGTGAATAATTGAAAGACCTAATACAAATGTAATGAATAGATGAAAGACCTAATACAAATGTAATGAATAGATGAAAGACCTAATACAAATGTAATGAATAGATGAAAGACCTAGTACAAATGTAATGAATAGATGAAAGACCTAGTACAAATGTAATGAATAGATGAAAGACCTAGTACAAATGTAATGAATAGATGAAAGACCTAGTACAAATGTAATGAATAGATGAAAGACCTAACACACAGCTCATATTGAAGATCATCATCATCACATATGACTATAACAGACCTAACAGGAACCTAATAAAAAGCCGAAAGACCTAATACAAACCTAATAAACAGTTGAAAAACCTAGAGTATATCAAACCTCAAATTTCTGCAGAGCCTCGGTGACATCTGGTTTCAGAGCCTTGTGTTTCATTCTGGCACAGCGACTGGAACCAAACAACAACAGTTTTACATCATACAGACCACTGTCTGTTCATAAGTACACTATAATGGCAGGGGACAGACCACTGTCTGTTCATAAGTACACTATAACGGCAGGGGACAGACCACTGTCTGTTCATAAGTACACTATAATGGCAGGGGACAGACCACTTTCTGTTCATAAGTACACTATAATGGCAGGGGGATGAAATATTGTAAAACCTGAATCGTCTTATTTCCACAATAGAGGCTGGCTACAATGTATCCACTGCTAACTACAAGAGTATTATGTGGAGAGGGCCCAATCTCTTCCATGGTGCAAAAATTGAACCCCTGTCTGACAGCCCTCTGTGGAAACTGAACCCTAGTAAATGTTGAAGACTGCACTGTGAAACCAGATCACTAACCTGTGAGACACAGAGTGGGGCAGGACATACTACAGGGGCATGAATGAGACGACTGTGACCAGTTGTTGTTTTTATCACTTCATAAACATAATCATCTCATAAAGCAGGGCCTTCAGAGAACACTGCTCCCGTCACCGCCTGTCTGAACCAAACTCAGTCTCTAGCCAGCTCTCCGACCTCATGCACTTTCCTACACAAAACTGATGCTCATGCTGATCAACCCTTGCCCATCTTCATGCTGGTCAACCCTTGCCCATCTTCATGCTGGTCAACCCCTGTCAATCTTCATGCTGATCAACCCTTGCCCATCTTCATGCTGGTCAACCCTTGCCCATCTTCATACTAGTCAGCTACTGCCCATCTTCATGCTGGTCAGCTACTGCCCATCTTCATACTAGTCAGCTACTGCCCATCTTCATGCTGGTCAGCTACTGCCCATCTTCATGCTGATCAACCCTTGCCCATCTTCATGCTGGTCAGCTACTGCCCATCTTCATGCTGGTCAACCCTTGCCCATCTTCATGCTGGTCAGCTACTGCCCATCTTCATGCTGGTCAACCCTTGCCCATCTTCATGCTAGTCAGCTACTGCCCATCTTCATGCTGGTCAGCTACTGCCCATCTTCATGCTGATCAACCCTTGCCCATCTTCATGCTGGTCAGCTACTGCCCATCTTCATGCTGGTCAACCCTTGCCCATCTTCATGCTGGTCAGCTACTGCCCATCTTCATGCTAGTCAGCTACTGCCCATCTTCATGCTGGTCAACCCTTGCCCATCTTCATGTTGATCAACCCTTGCCCATCTTCATGCTGGTCAACCCTTGCCCATCTTCATGCTGGTCAACCCTTGCCCATCTTCATGCTGGTCAACCCTTGCCCATCTTCATGCTGGTCAGCTACTGCCCATCTTCATGCTGATCAACCCTTGCCCATCTTCATGCTGGTCAACCCTTGCCCATCTTCATGTTGATCAACCCTTGCCCATCTTCATGCTGGTCAACCCTTGCCCATCTTCATGCTGGTCAACCCTTGCCCATCTTCATGCTGGTCAACCCTTGCCCATCTTCATGCTGGTCAGCTACTGCCCATCTTCATGCTGGTCAACCCTTGCCCATCTTCATGCTGGTCAACCCTTGCCCATCTTCATGCTGGTCAACCCTTGCCCATCTTCATGCTAGTCAGCTACTGCCCATCTTCATGCTGGTCAACCCTTGCCCATCTTCATGCTAGTCAGCTACTGCCCATCTTCATGCTGGTCAACCCTTGCCCATCTTCATGCTGGTCAACCCTTGCCCATCTTCATGCTAGTCAGCTACTGCCCATCTTCATGCTGGTCAACCCTTGCCCATCTTCATGCTAGTCAGCTACTGCCCATCTTCATGCTGGTCAACCCTTGCCCATCTTCAGGCTGGTCAACCCTTACCCATCTTCATGCTGGTCAACCCTTGCCCATCTTCATGCTGGTCAACCCTTGGCCATCTTCATGCTGGTCAACCCTTGCCCATCTATATGCTAGTCAGCTACTGTCCATCTTACCCACAACCCAGCCCTCCTCTGTTATTCTGTCTAATCCACAGAGGCGCTTGACATGGCTTAAGTATTTTATTAGAGTTTCCAAGACAAGATGTTGTTTAATAGTCAATTTTACAGCTCTAAGTAAAGCCTAGATAGACATGCCAAGACTCTGTGAACATTCTTCAGTGAAACACTTGCAATGTGGAAGTGATATTTATGTTAAAGACCCATGTAAGGAAGTGATAATCTTCTTCTCCTTCATCACTTCCCCTTTCATCACTGTGGGTGTCTAGGGTGATATCCTAGCTCTTCTGGCCGCTTTAGCCATATACACATCCTACTGTTGTAAAGTTTCTCTGATATTATCTTTCCATCTTGTTTTTGGTCTACCTCATGCTTTATGACCCTCTCATCTTCTGGTGAATGGCTGGTATGGAAGAGCATTGCAATACATTCTCTACAAGTAGGCAATGGTTGTATTTGCTGTCTGTTGAAGTGATAATATTCTGGAAAAAAGGCAGACAACAACACACATACGGAGAAGGCAGCTAGAGAGTCAAGTTAAAAAGATGGGGGGGGGGGGGGGGGGGGGGCACCAAGAGAGCTGCATGCGACAGCAAAGGATAGAACGACTTGGTGTCCCAATACTTGGCCAGCTTTACTGCATTGGATGTCATGTTCTTTGTCCAATCTACCATCTTCAGTGAATGTTGTTCAAAGATATTTAAACTCAGATGCCTGTTTAATATATGCATGTTTCTATGAAAATATGTCTAGTATCTGATGCCCACTGCACTACTGGCGGGCACACAAATATGTCTAGTATCTGATGCCCACTGCACTACTGGCGGGCACACAAATATGTCTAGTATCTGATGCCCACTGCACTACTGGCGGGCACACAACTATGTCTAGTATCTGATGCCCACTGCACTACTGGCGGGCACACAACTATGTCTAGTATCTGATGCCCACTGCACTACTGGCGGGCACACAACTATGTCTAGTATCTGATGCCCACTGCACTACTGGCGGGCACACAACTATGTCTAGTATCTGATGCCCACTGCACTACTGGCGGGCACACAAATATGTCTAGTATCTGATGCCCACTGAACTACTGGCAGGCACACAAATATGTCTAGTATCTTATGCCCACTGCACTACTGGCGGGCACACAAATATGTCTAGTATCTGATGCCCACTGCACTAATGGCTGGCACACAAATATGTCTAGTATCTGATTCCCACTGCACTACTGGCTGACACACAAATATGTCTAGTATCTGATTCCCACTGCACTACTGGCTGGCACACAAATATGTCTAGTATCTGATTCCCACTGCACTACTGGACGGCACACAAATATGTCTAGTATCTGATGCCCACTGCACTATTGGCGAGCACACAACTATGTCTAGTATCTTATGCCCACTGCACTACTGGCGAGCACACAAATATGTCTAGTATCTGATGCCCACTGCACTACTGGCGAGCACACAACTATGTCTAGTATCTTATGCCCACTGCACTACTGGCGAGCACACAACTATGTCTAGTATCTTATGCCCACTGCACTACTGGGGGGGGGGGGGGGGGGGGGGGGGGGGGGTGTATAGTATCTTTGGGGGGGGGGGGGGGGGGGGGGCACAAATATGTCTAGTATCTGATGTCCACTGCACTACTGGTGGGGGGGGGGGGGGGGGCACAAATATGTCTAGTATCTGATGCCCACTGCACTACTGGTGGAGGGGGGGGGGCACAAATATGTCTAGTATCTGATGCCCACTGCACTACTGGCAGGGGGGGGGGGGGCCACAAATATGTCTAGTATCTGATTAAAACTAACCTCAGTTCCATTTCATCCTCCTCTGCATCTTGCGGAAGTTCAGGCTCTTTCACAAACACAATCTCCCTGCTGTGATTCAAACAACCAGAGATCTTGTCTGTGCCATCTTTAGTCAAACCTGTGCCTAGTCCAACAAGAAGTCTCTCCATGTCCCACCCTGATCTTTGACCTGCTTTGACGACTGTTGCTAAGGAAGTCATGTGATCAACCCAGTGAAGAACGCTAGGTATGTGGTCAACCAATAGGGCACTTCTGAAATGTAGAGCTTCCTAGGAGATAGAAATTAACAGAGAGAATTTAATAGAACTCTAATAAGTCCGGAGACCACAAGATCCATTTTCGACAGGACAGTATCGTTGTTTTAGGAAGGCTGAGACCATCCCAGTGATACTCTAAGGGAAAATCCCTCAGTTGGGATAACAAACTTTTATTTTAGTATCGTTGGAATGGCCTGGGTTGACCTAAAAAAATATACTATGGTTATCCTATCAATAAATAATTATGGGTTGTGTTGCATAAAGGAAAAAAAAAGGAACAGAGCAAGGAGAAAGGAGTAAGTGACTACACACTGGCTGAGAGCTGAAACAAATAAGGAACAGAGCAAGGAGAAAGGAGTAAGTGACTACACACTGGCTGAGAGCTGAGTGTTTGAGCAGAAACATGTAACCTGCAAACAGTGGTCCTGAAATCTCATACACTTATAGTGGAAGATTTTTCTGAACACCAGCTGGTCTTGCAAGTGACACTATAATTTTCATGCCTCCCTATAGCACAGTGTAAAACTGTTGCACGGAAAGTGGCCAACAGTATCAATAATGAGAGAAAAGTATATAATGTACAGGGGGCTTAAAATGAAAACCGTAAAAGTGTGATAGACATTACAATAAACAGGCCATTCATTGTCTTGTAACCTGTCAATGTTGTTGTTAAGGATGCCAAGAGTGTCAAGCATGTGATGTGCAGTGTGCAGGTAGAAATAAACTGTGTCAATAATCAAGTAACAGTCATCGTCAGCCTGTGCTCTTCCTGCTAATAGGATCTCTGCCTAGGGTGCTGCCTAGATAAGTAAATTTACTGACAACGTTTAATCTGTAGCTATGAAGATGAAAGAGTGACTTGCGCGGTGACTTGGATTAAAGTGAGGAAGAGTTGCGCAGTGTCGTCGACCTCACTCTCTCGCCTAAGTCATATCTGGGTCCAGTGGCAAGACAGAGTGAGGACGACTGGAGATATATCTGGGTGCAGTGGCAAGACAGAGTGAGGACGACTGGAGATATATCTGGGTGCAGTGGCAAGACAGAGTGAGGACGACTGGAGATATATCTGGGTGCAGTGGCAAGACAGAGAGAGGACGACAGGAGATATGTCTGGGTGCAGTGGATGACCAGGGCATTCTACGTGCCTCGCCATGCTCTATGCACTCGACAGTGCTTTGCTAGTGTCGCCCTCTTGCCTGTTGAACCAAATATGGTTTTCTTCGCGCATTCTGCCGACAGAAGTCTTTGCATGCTTGGATAGGCAGATCCTAACTCACCGATGAAAAGGAGCATCGGCTACCCTCACCTGGTTTTGCCGGCCTGTCAAAGCCATTGCCCGGGGGGTGGTCGCTGTCACATGCTGACAGCTACGTGGAGCCACAGGTGAGAGCTGAGTGTCAGTTTTGGACCAAAGGTTATCAAGCTGTCCTAAAAAAGACATACACACACACACACATACGTACATGCGTAAATACACACACACACACATACATAAATACATACATACGTACGCACATACATACATACATGCAAAAGGAAGAAGAAGGAGAGGAGGAGAAGAAGAAATATGTCACACTAACTTACCAGCAGATGGTATGTATAGACATACAGAATCAGATCTGCCAGGGTCATCTCCACTCCCTCAGAATATGTATGTTCGTACTGAATATCAAGGTGTGTTAGCTGGTCAACCAGTTCTGAGATATCTGTTAGTACCGCAGCATTGAATGTTGAGTTCCTGTTTGAACCCTTCAGGCAGCCTGATGCAGTCATCACAGTAGTAAACTCTACCTTCTGCCAGTCCTGTATTGTCTTACCAGCACCATCATTTCCTGCATTCAGTCTCACAGATGAAACGTCAAAATGTTTATCCACTTTCAGTCTATGGATGCCGTGGTGCAGCTGCGTCACATGATCTATCTGCAGCCAAGAATCTGTCTGTGACAGCACGTCTAATCTGATATTGAATGATTCTTCATTTGGGCAGAGGTCTGTGGAATGTTCGCTTGATTTGCAGCAACTATCCTCAAGTGACAGACATTTCTGTAAACTCAGTTGTTCTTCACAAGTTTCAATAAACATTGGGTCTCTTCCCGCGATGTTATACAGTGGAATATTAGTGGCATTTGTTACTTTACTGGAAGAGACCTTTCTGAGATAGTTTTTTAGTTTAGACAGTTCCTCTCGCCGTCTCTTGTTGTCATTGTGGACTCTGCAATTCTTGCGAAAGTGGTCATCAAGTTTGATTAAGGCACTTGGAAGGATGACTTGCCTTGACCCAGAACTCTCACCACCATCTGCTTTTTCTAGGAACAGAGTCCTATGGAAGATTCAGAAACAACAAACTATTGTAACACAAATGCTGATAAATACTATTATTCTTGGTTTTTTTAAATTGTTTTCTTGTTTTATCATTTAAAAAAAACCTACAAATGCTGATAGATACTATTATTCTTGTTTTATTATTATTCTTGTTTCATCATTTAAAAATCACAAATGCTGATAGATACTATTATTCTTGTTTTATTAGTATTATTATTTTATTATTATTCTTGTTTTATCATTATATAAACACAAATGCTGATAGATACTATTATTCTTGTTTTATTATTTTTCTTGTTTTATTGTTATTCTTGTGTTATCATTATATAAACAAAAACGCTGATAGATACTATTATTCTTGTTGTATTATTATGTAAACACAAATAATCATTTGTCAAAATTGTCTTTTGTTTAGGGCCCAAAGGGTAAAAAAGAATAGACCCATAGCCTCATAACAAGCTTGCAGTAAAAGGCAACTAATTAGGAAGATGCCACAATTGGATGTGCAGATGCACGTATCACAGCCTAGCTGTAAACCACAGCACAAATACCAACCACCTATTTCAGGACAAACAGACACACACAAAAAGAAGCTTTAAAGAGTACTGTTTTGAACTAAGTTTGTTACTATAATGTATGTATATTATGAAATGTTTTCTTTAATTTAGTTTCTGCACAGGTTTCTCTATCATGCCATTAAATAATTCAATATGATACCTCCATGGTAGACAGAGAATAAAGATATCAGTCCACTGCTGGAAAATATGAAATCAAGGTAATGTAGTGGCCAGATGCTCGGCTACCAGTTTGAATGTGCCAGGCTCAAATCTACACTGAGGGGGATTTTATAAAAACTGACCTTGACTCACAGCATAAAACCAGGCTAAAATGGACAGAAGGTCATCTGCCAAGAAGTCAAGGTTGCTGGCTGATAACCAGGTCATGAGCCAAGAAGTCAAGGTTGCTGGCTAATAACCAGGTCATGAGCCAAGAAGTCAAGGTTGCTGGCTGATAACCAGGTCATGAGCCAAGAAGTCAAGGTTGCTGGCTGATAACCAGGTCATGTGCCAAGAAGTCAAGGTTGCTGGCTGATAACCAGGTCATGTGCCAAAAAGTCAAGGTTGCTGGCTGATAACTAGGTCATGAGCCAAGAAGTCAAGGTTGCTGGCTGATAACCAGGTCATGTCCCAAGAAGTCAAGGTTGCTGGCTGATAACCAGGTCATGTCCCAAGAAGTCAAGGTTGCTGGCTGATAACCAGGTCATGTCCCAAGAAGTCAAGGTTGCTGGCTGATAACCAGGTCATGTCCCAAGAAGTCAAGGTTGCTGGCTGATAACCAGGACATGAGCCAAGAAGTCAAGGTTGCTGGCTGATAACCAGGTCATGAGCCAAGAAGTCAAGGTTGCTGGCTGATAACCAGGTCATGAGATAAGAAGTCAAGGTTGCTGGCTGATAACCAGGTCATGAGATAAGAAGTCAAGGTTGTTGGCTGATAACCAAGTCATGAGATAAGAAGTCAAGGTTGCTGGCTGATAACCAGGTCATGAGATAAGAAGTCAAGGTTGCTGGCTGATAACCAGGTCATGAGATAAGAAGTCAAGGTTGCTGGCTGATAACTAGGTCATGAGCCAAGAAGTCAAGGTTGCTGGCTGATAACTAGGTCATGAGCCAAGAAGTCAAGGTTGCTGGCTGATAACTAGGTCATGAGCCAAGAAGTCAAGGTTGCTGGCTGATAACTAGGTCATGAGCCAAGAAGTCAAGGTTGCTGGTTGATAACCAGGTCATGAGCCAAGAAGTCAAGGTTGCTGGCTGATAACCAGGTCATGAGCCAAAAAGTCAAGGTTGCTGGCTGATAACTAGGTCATGTCCCAAGAAGTCAAGGTTGCTGGCTGATAACCAGGTCATGAGATAAGAGGTCAAGGTTGCTGGCTGATAACCAGGTCATGTGCCAAGAAGTCAAGGTTGCTCGCTGATAACCAGGTCATGAGCCAAGAAGTCAAGGTTGCTGGCTAATAACCAAGTCATGAAATAAGAAGTCAAGGTTGCTGGCTGATAACCAGGTCATGTCCCAAGAAGTCAAGGTTGCTGGCTGATAACCAGGTCATGAGCCAAGAAGTCAAGGTTGCTGGCTGATAATGACCACATTACCCAACTGGTGCTGATTGGTCTATAACCAAATGAGTCTGTCCTCTGCCCACTGGCATTATAAGGGTGCTTTACTTTATAAATGATAAGGACACTTACATACAATCTTCTTAGGGGATCTCCACGGCAAAGTGGTCAAGCCATGTGCCTTGTGTTCTGAAGGCCATGGGTTCATTTCATAGCTGTGCCATTCACTTCCACATGAAACTGTTATGGAGATCCCTGGGGATCATCGCTGGAGCTAAGGAGTTTGTGCTTTATGCAGCACTCGTGGTATGCGGCTAGCCCTTCTAGCTAGCCGCATAATGCTGTGTGGCATTTGTAATCATGTCTATTCATATCCTCTGTCTTATGTACTTTCAATCAATTCTGACACAGATGACCTTCCATCAAACTGTCCAGCAATTTCTATCTTGGTCTCCATCTGTCTCTTTTCCCCTCCACATTTTCCAATGTCACAGTGTACTCCATACTCCAGTGTTCTCCATATCTTGACATGACTAAAGAATGTAGATTGTCTTCTACTGACGTGGGCAATCAGTTCCCTTTGTAAGTCATTTTCTTTCAAGACATCCTCACTACTCTTTTTAATCTGTCCAACGTGTTCTCATCAAATGTCTACTAAATCATATCTTTGCTGCATCCACATCATTTTCCACTAGTCGGCCAACTGTCCATGATTCACTTCTACATATCAGGATTTATATATCTCTTGAGAATTACCATATAATGCATCCATGAAAGATTATCAGAAAATGTGCTCACTATCAAAGGATGGATCCATGTAAGATTAATGGAGAATGTGCCCACTAACAAAACTTTAGCTAGATGTTGTGCGGGCCTTCTGGGAGCGAGTGAACTGTGCAGAAGCACAAATAGATCATTACGATCTGAGGAGAATATATTTGCGAGGAGTTACCAGGGGATCTGGCCAATGCTCAACACCTAAGGAAAAGGCGAGACGGATATACAATCAAGACAGTTACTGGTGATATGGGAATTGGAACTCTTCGTTTGCTGCTGAATATGGGGACGGAACACTTATGGGAGTGTCCCGAGTGCTATGATGTTGATTCTTAATTTAACATTCAACTAACAAAAATAATACTTTTAGTTCGGTCAAATGCCCCCCAACAAGTGTCACTTAACCGATTTTTTTTAGTCATGTTTATAAGATGTATAGATGCTTTGCTATTGGTTTTCCTTGCATCTACACAGCGTTTAGGAAATCAGAACATGAATATAATTACTAAAAACAACATTTAGTAGGTTTCCTTGTGAACCAAACAGCTTTTTATAAAAGCGAAGTTGATGTCATAAATTTCCCATGGCCTCATTGCTAGAGGTCATTGGGTTACACATTTTACTCCCTTTCCCTATCTTTATATATTCTGAAAAAAAATTAACAAATATAGCTAAACAAAAAATTATGTAGATGTGTTTCTGTGTGTGTGTGGGTGTGTCTATCTCTATGTGTGTGTGTGTGTATGTATGTGTGTGTGTATGTATGTGTGTGTGTGTGTGTGTATGTATGTATGTATGTATGTATGTATGTATGTATGTATGTATGTATGTATGTATGTGTGTGTGTGTGTATGCATGTAAATATATGTAGGAATAATGCATGCATGTGTGTATATGTGTGTGTGGCATGTTTGCATGTATGTAAGTGAATGTGGGTGTGTATGCATGTGTGTCAGTGAGTGGGTGAGTGGGCATGTGCATGTGTGTGCGAGCGCAAGTGTGTGCATGCATTTTACCACTGGTGTTCTTGTATGTTTTCTTGATATTCATAATATACATATTATTATATGAACATAACATGCTTTACTGATAAAATACAACTGCTGTGTGAAAGACGCGTGCTTGGAAGGACCTAATGTATGACGGGCCTGCGTGCCCAGTTTGTGACCCTTTGAAAATATAGTTTGTTTGTACATTCGTTCGTACTTCTTTATCGCTCGTCCTGTGAATGAAATATGTTGAGCCTGTTGACAGAGTAGCTGCAATATTTGAGTGTTTCAGCCAACACATCCAACTTCTTTAGGCAAACATTCACAGCCAGTGAACGTGAAGAAAAAGAAGAAACAGCTTATTATGTCTACTCCAATAACAGATGTACAAATGTATACGCCAAACATACAAGGCTAAGACCGTGGGACCTACCTGAGTGTAGAAACAAACTGTGATACAGAATCCGGGAGCTCCACTTCACACAGCTTGGTGAAACCTGACACCTGACAGATGAGGTCATAGAAAACATCAGCTGATATACAAGAGCTAATAACAAAAAATGTGTCATCTCACTGCAGACCCACACACAGTGGACGGACTATAGGTTGCTTTATGTGTGGTTGCCCAACATAACTGTGCTATATGGCTATAGAGTTGAACAGGGTTTCTGTGATTTGTGGTTGCCCAACATAACTGTGCTTAATGGCTATAGAGTTGAACAGGGTTTCTGTGATTTGTGGTTGCCCAACATATCTGTGCTATATGGCTATAGAGTTGAACAGGGTTTCTGTGATTTGTGGTTGCCCAACATAACTGTGCTATATGGCTATAGAGTTGAACAGGGTTTCTGTGATTTGCATTTGTTTGATTCTCATCCTTGAGATGTTACTACAGACTGAAGGGGAAACACTGAAAACAATGTTTTGTATATACTTTACATTTTCTGATATACCTGCCAAAACAGCTCTCACCTGGACACCAGAGGGAAAGAGAAAACAGGGGCGCCCAAAAACAACATGGAGACGAACGATGGAAAGTGACCTGAGTGCTGCATCTTTGACATGGAAAACCGCACTGAAGATTGTACAGGACAGGAAAGCATGGAAAGTCCTCTCTGAAGCCTCATGTGCCACTAGGCATAACATAATGAGAACTGATGATGATGATTACACGGCATTGTATAATAAACTCCAAAATTGTTAGCTGTTTGGTTTTCCAAAATGTTTAGCTTTTTGGTTTTAACAGCCTATTCTACATTCAGAAGTTTGCTGTAGACCTATCTGGGTGAGGCACACAATATAAATTAGCAGGAAGATGTGAGGTCAGAAGTTTGCTGTAGACCTATCTGGGTGAGGCATACAATGTAAATTAGCAGGAAGATGTGAGGTCAGAAGTTTGCTGTAGACCTATCTGGGTGAGGCATACAATATAAATTAGCAGGAAGATGTGAGGTCAGAAGTTTGCTGTAGACCTATCTGGCTGAGGCATACAATATAAATTAGCAGGAAGATGTGAGGTCAGAAGTTTGCTGTAGACCTATCTGGGTGAGGCATACAATATAAATTAGCAAGAAGATGTGAGGTCAGAAGTTTGCTGTAGACCTATCTGGGTGAGGCATACAATGTAAATTAGCAGGAAGATGTGAGGTCAGAAGTTTGCTGTAGACCTATCTGGGTGAGGCATACAATATAAATTAGCAGGAAGATGAGAGGTCAGAAGTTTGCTGTAGACCTATCTGGGTGAGGCATACAATATAAATTAGCAGGAAGATGTGAGGTCAGAAGTTTGCTGTAGACCTATCTGGGTGAGGCATAAAATGTAAATTAGCAGGAAGATGTGAGGTCAGAAGTTTGCTGTAGACCTATCTGGGTGAGGCATACATTATAAATTAGCAGGAAGATGAGAGGTCAGAAGTTTGCTGTAGACCTATCTGGGTGAGGCATACAATGTAAATTAGCAGGAAGATGAGAGGTCAGAAGTTATACGTGCTACAAATTTTAAGTAGGCCTAGGGGATGTTTTTAGTAGTGTCAGGATCAGACTAGTTCTTAAGTTAGGAGAGTTGGGCGTGATAAGGCAAAATTAATTCTGGCTGTCAGGTAGAATGTAGATATGAGGATTGTACCTGTGTTGTCAAGAAGACTTTCTTATTTCCACTAGTTCATAGGGTAATTAGAATTGTGTAATGGGAAGTGTTAATTGTTAGGGCATAAACTAAAAGAAGGAATCTGTGTTGTATGGGAGAATGCATTACCCTGTCAGAACAGGTGGATTTAATTATAAGACAACTGAATTCTGGGTACAAAATTCATTATCAGAGTCAGTTGAATGGAGTGGAGGTTTAGTTAACCGTCCAAGTCGGACATTTTCCGCGGGTCTGCAGAAAGGCTATGTGATCTGTCCTCTTATGAGAGTGTTTGTAGCAATGTTGCTCTTAGTTAGGATTGTGCTCTACTGTAGTTAGTGGAAGGCAGTTAAGGTCCGTTGTAGCTTCCGATGGCATGAGTAGATTGCGTCGAAAGTTTTCATTAGGACCAGCAGTGAAAATAATAGAGACTTATTAGTGTATATAAATTATCATCATCATCTTGTGACCTGTTACTTATGTGAATGACCTTAAAGTTCATGTGGCCTGTCTCATGCGTTACTGTTGACTCTTCAAGACAGTCACAGTGGTATTTGCTGCTCCTGGGCCAAGTGTGTCCAGGTATTAAATTATGTAGGACTGCAAGTATTAGCAGCACATTCATCGAGAGAAGATCCAGCGGCAAATTGGCGTAGGTACCCTAGACCTATATAAGGTACCCTAGACCTTTATACGGTAACCTAGACCTATATAAGGTACCCTAGACCTATATAAGATACCCTAGACCTATTTAAGATACCCTAGACCTATATAAGGTACCCTAGACCTATATAAGATACCCTAGACCTATATAAGATACCCTAGACCTATATAAGATACCCTAGACCTATATAAGGCACCCTAGACCTATATAAGATACCCTAGACCTATATAAGATACCCTAGACCTATATAAGGCACCCTAGACCTATATAAGGTACCCTAGACCTATATAAGGTACCCTAGACCTATATAAGATACCCTAGACCTATATAAGGTACCCTAGACCTTTATAAGGTAACCTAGACCTATATAAGGTACCCTAGACCTATATAAGGCACCCTAGACCTATATAAGGCACCCTAGACCTATATAAGGCACCCTAGACCTATATAAGGCACCCTAGACCTATATAAGATACCCTAGACCTATATAAGATACCCTAGACCTTTATAAGGCACCCTAGACCTATATAAGGCACCCTAGACCTATATAAGGTACCCTAGACCTATATAAGGCACCCTAGACCTATATAAGGCACCCTAGACCTATATAAGGCACCCTAGACCTACATAAGGTACCCTAGACCTACATAAGGTACCCTAGACCTAAATAAGGCACCCTAGACCTATATAAGGCACCCTAGACCTATATAAGGCACCCTAGACCTATATAAGGTACCCTAGACCTATATAAGGTACCCTAGACCTATATAAGGCACCCTAGACCTATATAAGGTACCCTAGACCTATATAAGGTACCCTAGACCTATATAAGGTACCCTAGACCTATATAAGGTACCCTAGACCTATATAAGGTACCCTAGACCTATATAAGGCACCCTAGACCTATATAAGGTACCCTAGACCTATATAAGGTACCCTAGACCTATATAAGGTACCCTAGACCTATATAAGGTACCCTAGACCTATATAAGGTACCCTAGACCTATATAAGATACCCTAGACCTATATAAGATACCCTAGACCTATATAAGGCACCCTAGACTTATATAAGATACCCTAGACCTATATAAGATACCCTAGACCTATATAAGGTACCCTAGACCTATATAAGGTACCCTAGACCTATATAAGGTACCCTAGACCTATATAAGGCACCCTAGACCTATATAAGATACCCTAGACCTATATAAGATACCCTAGACCTATATAAGATACCCTAGACCTATATAAGATACCCTAGACCTATATAAGATACTTTAGACCTATATAAGATACCCTAGACCTATATAAGATACCCTAGACCTATATAAGATACTTTAGACCTATATAAGATACCCTAGACCTATATAAGGTACCCTAGACCTATATAAGATACCCTAGACCTATATAAGATACCCTAGACCTATATAAGATACCCTAGACCTATATAAGGTACCCTAGACCTATATAAGATACCCTAGACCTATATAAGATACCCTAGACCTATATAAGATACCCTAGACCTATATAAGATACCCTAGACCTATATAAGGTACCCTAGACCTATATAAGGTACCCTAGACCTATATAAGCTACCCTAGACCTATATAAGATACCCTAGACCTATATAAGATACCCTAGACCTATATAAGGTACCCTAGACCTATATAAGATACCCTAGACCTATATAAGGTACCCTAGACCTATATAAGATACCCTAGACTTAGATAAGAAACCCTAGAGCTATATAAGATACCCTAGACTTATATAAGATACCCTAGACTTAGATAAGATACCCTAGACCTATATAAGATACCATAGACCTATATAAGGTACCTTAGACCTATATAAGATACCATAGACCTATATAAGGTACCCTAGACCTATATAAGGTACCCTAGACCTATATAAGGTACCCTAGACCTATATAAGGTACCATAGACCTATATAAGATACCATAGACCTATATAAGGTACCCTAGACCTATATAAGGGACCATAGACCTATATAAGGTACCCTAGACCTATATAAGATACTCTAGACCTATATAAGATACCCTAGACCTATATAAGATACCCTAGACCTATATAAGATACCCTAGACCTATATAAGGTACCCTAGACCTATATAAGGTACCCTAGACCAATATAAGGTACCCTAGATCTATATACTTGGTTGTTTACATATACAGCAAAGTATCAGTACAGAAAAATAAACATTGCATGAATTAATATTAACAAGTGCTCTGTATGTCCATAGTCTACACTGGGGGAATACAAGTGTACAATAAGTTTGCCATTGCTTTCCCTAATAGTCTGCTCTCCATACCACTGTCACAATCAGAGCAAAATGGTCTGTTGCCAAATAACCAGCAGCTAAAGTTAAACCAGGTAATTCAGAATTAAGAAGAGTGTTATCAACACCTAAGCCACAGATGCCGACATGAGCTAATAAACCACATGAGCTAATAAACCACACGAGCTGATAAACCACACGAGCTGATAAACCACATGAGCTGATAAACCACATGAGCTGATAAACCACATGAGCTGATAAACCACATGAGCTGATAAACCACATGAGCTAATAAACCACATGAGCTAATAAACCACATGAGCTAATAAACCACATGAGCTAATAAACCACATGAGCTAATAAACCACATGAGCTAATAAACCACATGAGCTGATAAACCACATGAGCTGATAAACCACATGAGCTGATAAACCACATGAGCTGATAAACCACATGAGCTGATAAACCACATGAGCTGATAAACCACATGAGCTGATAAACCACATGAGCTAATAAACCACATGAGCTAATAAACCACACGAGCTGATAAACCACATGAGCTAATAAACCACACGAGCTGATAAACCACATGAGCTAATAAACCACACGAGCTGATAAACCACATGAGCTAATAAACCACACGAGCTGATAAACCACACGAGTTGATAAACCACATGAGCTAATAAACCACATGAGCTAATAAACCACATGAGCTAATAAACCACATGAGCTAATAAACCACACGAGCTGATAAACCACATGAGCTAATAAACCACATGAGCTAATAAACCACATGAGCTAATAAACCACACGAGCTGATAAACCACATGAGCTAATAAACCACATGAGCTAATAAACCACATGAGCTAATAAACCACATGAGCTAATAAACCACACGAGCTGATAAACCACATGAGCTAATAAACCACATGAGCTAATAAACCACATGAGCTAATAAACCACATGAGCTAATAAACCACATGAGCTAATAAACCACATGAGCTAAAAAATAACACGAGCTAAAAAACAATACGAGCTAATAAACAACTGGGGCTAATAAACAATATTAGCTAACAAACAATATGAGCTAAAAACAATTAGGGTTAATAAACAACTGGAGCTAACAAACAATATGAGCTAAAAACAATACGAGCTAATAAACAAGTGGAGCTAATAAACAACTGGAGCTAACAAACAATATGATAACAAACAATATGAGCTAATAAACAAGTGGAGCTAATAAACAACTGGAGCTAACAAACAATATGATAACAAACAATATGATAACAAACAATATGAGCTAAAAACAATTAGGGTTAATAAACAACTGGAGCTAACAAACAATATGAGCTAAAAACAATACGAGCTAATAAACAAGTGGAGCTAATAAACAACTGGAGCTAACAAACAATATGAGCTAAAAAACAATACGAGCTAATAAACAAATGGAGCTAACAAACAATATGAGCTAATAAACAAGTGGAGCTAATAAACAACTGGAGCTAACAAACAATATGAGCTAATAAACAAGTGGAGCTAATAAACAACTGGAGCTAACAAACAATATGAGCTAATAAACAAGTGGAGCTAACAAACAATATGAGCTAACAAACAAATGGAGCTAACAAACAATATGAGCTAACAAACAAATGGAGCTAACAAACAATATGAGCTAACAAACAATATGAGCTAATAAACAATATGAGCTAACAAACAATATGAGCTAATAAACAATACAAGCTGATATTCAAAATATAACACTTCAAAGTCATTCTATTTATTTGATGTGTAATATTGGTGAGACTAACACCAATCCTGATTATTTAATTATTTCATTAATTTTTTTTTAAAATATTACTATTACCTCTGAACACATCCGCATGCTGCCTTGTCGAAAGCCCTAAAGCAAAAAGGAGAAGAAAAAAAGCTAGTTCAAATTTTTAGTTGAAAAGAAAACATTTTAAACATCATAAGAAAAAGTATTATTGTCAGATAAACAACAAATTAAAAATTAGTTGTCTAATGTTATGTTTACTCAGTCCTGCGGTATGGTTGTCTAATGTTATGTTTACTCAGTCCTGCGGTATGGTTGTCTAATGTTATGTTTACTCAGTCCTGCGGTATGGTTGTCTAATGTTATGTTTACTCAGTCCTGCGGTATGGTTGTCTAATGTTATGTATACTCAGTCCTGATGTATGGTTGTCTAATGTTATGTTTACTCAGTCCTGCGGTATGGTTGTCTAATGTTATGTTTACTCAGTCCTGATGTATGGTTGTCTAATGTTATGTATACTCAGTCCTGATGTATGGTTGTCTAATGTTATGTATACTCAGTTCTGCTGTATGGTTGTCTAATGTTATGTATACTCAGTCCTGATGTATGGTTGTCTAATGTTATGTATACTCAGTCCTGATGTATGGTTGTCTAATGTTATGTATACTCGATCCTGCTGTATGGTTGTCTAATGTTATGTATACTCAGTCCTGCTGTATGGTTGTCTAATGTTATGTATACTCAGTCCTGCTGTATGGTTGTCAAATGTTATGTATACTCAATCCTGCTGTATGGTTGTCAAATGTTATGTATACTCAATCCTGCTGTATGGTTGTCTAATGTTATGAATACTCAGTCCTGCTGTATGGTTGTCTAATGTTTTGTTTACTCAGTCCTGCTGTATGGTTGTCTAATGTTATGTATACTCTGTATGGTTGTCTAATGTTATGTTTACTCATTCCTGCAGTATGGTTGTCAAATGTTATGTATACTCAATCCTGCTACATATGACATAATAACATGACTTAAAGTCTAATTGGACAGAAAACTCAGAACTTGCCCATGTGGACAGACACCACAGAATTCTGAGGATGTGCCCCAGAATTGCTGTCTACATGCAGTAGAGATGTCAGGTTTGGCCAGTGAGCATTCAGGTGGAAAACAAGCTGAACAGATCAGCGGGAACACGCCTCACACCAGAGACTGCAGAGAGGTCTATGGTTCTCATCTATAAATCAATAGCAGGGAGAACAAACAGAAGAATAAGACAACAAACAAAGAGTTACCAGCAGATCAATCAAATGGAGATCGGGTGAGAAGGTGTCCGACTCTCTGATTATGTGACGCAGCAACACACACATGCCTGATCGCACAAGAGACAGCTCTGGCTGATGCAGGGATGGCGGCAAAACATTTCTGACCACACTGGGAACCTCAGTCCATGGGGTGAACCTCACAGACAGCCCTGAGAGTATCTGCAGGAAAAGGCAACATATATACACATAGTCAATGAATCGAATGATGACAGCTTGGTTGTAAAACCTCTTTAATAGATGGAGATAGAAGAACAAAACATAGAGATGACAGACAGTCAGACATATGGAAGAGGAAGACAGAGAGATAGGCAGAAGGAAACAGAGAGAGAAATGAGAAACAGAACAAATGAATTAATTTTATTTTCAAATGGTCACCAACTGGGCCCGCAGGTTCATCTTACATTCAGCCCTTATAGTCTCATCTTTCAGACAGCAATCATATGTTACCTTTAAAGCAGGTTTTGCTCATTCAAAATACACATATTATGAATATCAAGCAAAATATACAAAGGCATGGATGGTAAATGCATACATTCAAATATACATATATATATATATTTCTCACACACACACATACATACACACACTTATACATGTGTACATACATACATACACTCACCCTAGATACATAAATACATTTTGGCACATACATCACATACATACATAAATACATCTATACATTCATAAACACAACACACTGATCAACACATCCACAAATACACATACATTCACACTAACGTACACACTTACATAAACAGAAACCCATGCATACACAGCATTATAAGGACACCCTTTATAACTGAAATTTAAAAAAGGTAAGAAAAAGAGCAAAATACACACACACACATACAGAGAAAGAGAGAGAGAGAGAGAGAGAGAGAGAGAGAGAGAGAGAGAGAGAGAGAGAGAGAGAGAGAGAGAGAGAGAGAGAGAGAGAGAGAGAGAGAGAGAGAGGGGGGCAACAGACAGGTAAGCACAGAGGTGTAAGAGACTAAAGCAGATAAAACTACCCTGAATAATAAAAAAAAAAAAAGACAAGAAAATGTTGAACAGACCAAGAAAGCTAGATAGATACCTGTTTCACAAACTCACATTTCTCTGGAAAGAGCAGCACATATTGATACTGCCAGCACTGTCTGGAACAAACACAAGCTCAAACTGATTGGTCTGACAGTAGCGGATAAAGAACAAGATAACACTGGATGACAAGGGACACAAGATGCTCTCCCCGTCCTCCGTCAGACAACCTTGAAGATAAAGTGTCATCTTTGCTGCACCAGGATCCAGGATTCTATGAAACAGAAACAAAGAGTAGCTGAGTTAAACTTATTATGTATTCTCTTCTGTGTTCACTTTTAAAAGGGCATTGTTATGGTTTAGAACTAGGCTGCAATATTTGCGCCTTTTGGTCCAACAATATCTTAATTAGCCATTTTCATAATATGCTGCACTGTATATTAAAAAGAAGACCATCTAAACCTGACTGGACTGAGTCAGACTGGGGGCAGAAAAGCCACATTTCTCCCAGATTTACGGTATTTATCATCGAATCAAGGCCGAAGGGTTGCGATATCCATAATACCGAGCCTAAGGGTTAAAAACTCATGGTTTCTGAATACTAAAAAAGAAAAATGAGACAAGCCTGGGTTGTTGATCCCTTTTTAATTTCTTTAATTAATTTTTTTTTTATTACAAGTTTCTTGAAGATTTTCACATTTGTTTGTCAAGCATTTTAACCCTTTTGCCCCATAAAAATCTTTGGGGGTGGGGGGAATGACCAAATATACATCAGAAGTGGAGATAAAGATGAAGTAAAAGAAGGGAGAATTAAATGCTCTTTCCTATACCAGGAAAAGCCGGGAAATTAAATTTAGTTACTACTAAACTATAAACATTCATTAACTGGTGCCTGCACATAAGAGAAGGAATAAAATAGTTTAAGATGGAACCAAAATTAAACGAATTCTAGAAGTTCCAAGCAGCAAGGAAAAGACCCTGGTGCAGGAAAAGATATGCACTGAGAAATCCTGATAACTAGAATGTCACTGCACTGCTTAGCAATCCACAAGGCAAAAGAAACAGTGAATTCTAAAATTACAAGGAAAGGAAAACCAGAAACATGAATGACTAACTTGGGATGGACATGAAAAGTCACACAGTGGCAGCAAGCAGAGGTGATATGGACAGGAAGGCTAGGCATGAGAGGAAAAACTGGGGCTTTCCTATACCAACTGGTGATAAAGGGAAGGTAGAAAATTTTGTTGTCACCTTTCTGTCTTTCTAGATGATAGTGATACATTAAACTATAAGTAGGCATGGGAACCACAGAGAAGGGCAGTCAATTATTAAGGCCAGAGATGATCTTCCTCCCAATCCTTGGCAGTTTTTAAACAATGTGTGGCTGATGCAACATGATCCCTCTCTCAGCCTGCCTTATTTACTCTAAAGAAATGTAACACTAATACAATAATAGTGCAATAATATCTAGAACAAAGCATGGTGAAAAAGCTACCGGATCAGAAAAGCAGTGCACTCAGTTTATCATCAGTCATCAGTCCACCTGTCAGAGCTACTTTTTTTACTTTTATTTTAACTTTAGGACCCTCCTGCCTCACAAAGTTATCAAAGTACCATAAGCCAACCTTGGCTAAATCATTTAGTAAATGCCTGGTCTACACTGCCGTAACAATCAGTTTTCATGTTACATTTTTTCCTCGTTGGTTAAAGCTAGTATTAGTACTAACTTAACTAGTAACACTAACAGTAATGCGACTAGATTGAGTTGAGTGTCACTCAATATCCTAACCAACGCGTGAACGACGCGCTCCCCCGTCCGAAAGCGGCTGTGACAAGTCTGAAGGGTACACAATGACAGAGAATAAATGCGATATCGTCCTACATTAAGATGCTGCAAGTAAATATTTATTTCAGCTTACGAATACAATTATCCAAACAACAAACAAGAAATAACACTAAGCAAGGAACCAACTTTCTCAAAATCAGTTGAAGTCTGCAAGCGTTAAACCGAATTGTAACTTCTTCTCCAAAGAGTTATAACTTTTCTACCTCTTCTTCAAAAGTTCAATAAACCTTTTCTTCTTCTTCGCGTTCACCGGCTGTAAACTCCGGCGTAAAGTTCTGCACAACCCACTCATCCATACACCCCACAATCCACGATCTATCTGTCTGTCTGTCTGTCCGTCCGTCTGTCTGTCTGTCTGTCTGTCTGTCTGTCTGTCTGTCTGTCTGTCTGTCTATCTATCTATCAGCATGCCTGTCTGCCGGCCTGCCTGCTGGTATTTGTTCGTTAGCACAGGCACCACTTTTATTCCATGATATGGACTAATGTCATCCCGACGACCAAACCCGGGTCACGCCTTATTGGCCAACCCCTCCCTCCCTCTTTAGACACTTAGTGTACGCTGTTTGTGGGCGTCTACTCCGTCCATTTCCTAGTTTTAGAGAACCCGTTTTTTGCTCCCCGTCCGTGCGTTGGTGATTAATACGCCAGTACCTGTCCCTGACATCCTTTTGACGGAAGTTTTTCGCCAGGAACACAGATGAGTATCATTTATTGTGTACATTAGTCCCATGTAGTCACTTCATAGTTAGAGCATATTTGTGTATGTGTACTGTATTGTTCTTTATGTGCCGATGAAGGCTAATTGCCGCAACGTCATTTGTTCGTTTATTGTGATCGTTTTTGTAAAGCTAACATAAACTGTTTGTTGTTTCTTACCAACTTTTTTTCTTCCCTATAACTGTCTACTCCTTTTAAAAACACTCAGAGGAAAGGCAAGTCGGACATTTTACCATATTGGGACCGGTACCATCAGTATTGGAACTCTGCACTGGCTGCTGAAGATGAGGACGGAGCATGCATGGGAATGCCCCGAGTGATGTGATGTCAATTCTTGACTCAACTCAATTCAACTCAGACTATTTGTTTCCCATTTCAGTGCTTGTTTTATAATTCTTTGCTCATGTCGTCTCAGAGTTTGCACAATATATCTTCACTTTATTTGTCTTATCGCAGTCGATACAGGTATTTGTCAAGACATTTCTCTGATCTTCTTACTTTTTTTTTTAATGCACCCTATTTTATCATCATCATCATCATCAATTTACACTTCTTCTGTTAAGTGCTGTGAAGAGAAATAGCCTGCTACCCATTGCTTGACGAGAAAGACAGGCTTATTGTCAGTCCGCGTCGATATAAATATAAGCTTTTTAATGTCATCAATACATGGTCACATAGGGCGGCCTCTTGATTTTGCTTCAGATCGTTTAATGTGTAGCGCTTACGTTGGTAGTTGTTCTGGCTGCATTCTTACTAGATGACCAAACCATTTGATTTTCTGTTTCTCAAAAAATTTGCTGTGTGGTGTTGTTTCTACAGACTGTCTGAAAATATATATTTTCTAACTTTGTCTCGGATGGTCGAGTTGACGGCTTTTCTCGTGCATCTCATTGCCTGGGTGTTAATTTTACTTAGGTTAGCCTTTGATAATACCAGTTCTGGTACTGGCAGCACCGTGTTGGTATCAATATGCTGTTTAAATTCTGTTTCTTCGCTTTATACTTTTGTTAGAATGCCTCAATAACGGTTCAGTCAACTAACTTACCAAATTCCCCACGCCTTCTTTGCTTTCTCACGTACCACTTACGGTGTCGAGTAAGATATACGACTATGGTTCTTGTTCCTCTGCTGCAGACCTAGTGCCAACCCTGTTTTGTTAATCTTTTCGTGCAAAATGAAACCCCCAAAAAATGGATTTCTTAAATGAACAGATCAAGTTTGAATTATAGCTTCTTCTTCTTTAACGACCAACGTTTTTCCTTCAGATGGCTCGGTGTTGAGGGGCAGACGAAGTGCATGGGATTCATAGCGAAGGCGAATGGACGTCGCTTAGTGCAACAAAGCCTGGCATGTGATATCACAAAGTCTAGTTTGAGAATGGAGGTGGAGGCAGTCACTGCTGCCTTCCAGTTGTAAAATTCAGTAGAAAGTTCTGATTGTTTGTTCACTTCTGGACTTTAGTCTTTCTCCATAACTTGAGTTTTGCGTACACACCTGCTTTACAGATCTGTCTTTTATATATACATACTCGTCTGTACTGTGCTCTACTATTTAACAATGTTTTTTATTTAAATTTTTTAAAATTATTATTATTTTGTGTGTGTGTGTGTGTGTGTGTGTGTGTGTGTATGTGCGCGTGCGTGTGCGTTATGCTGATAACAGCGTCTTGATAGTTAGCACTCAAAAAGAACTACAGGAATTGATAGATGAGGTGGTGGTAGAAAGTAATAAAATGCGCCTCAGTTTGAATAATGGAAAGACAGAAGTAATTGGTGATTTCCAAGAAAAGAATAATGCCTAAATGTTTTTAAAAGTCAAAGGACAAGTACATAAATTTAAGTATCTGGGCACATGGATAACATCCGACGGAAGATGTGTCACAGAGACAAAGAATAGAATATGACAGACCAAAGCTGCATTTTACAAAATTGAGAACATTTTATACAATAAATCCATGTCATTGGAGGTCAGGAAAAGAATTCATCCAAGCCATATAGAGCAAGTTTTTACATACGGCTGTGAGGCCTGGACGATTAAAAAACAAGCCGAACAATATCTTGAGGCCGCGGAGATGTGGTTTTACAGAAGAATCCTAAGAATTCCTTTGACAGTTAAGAAGAGCAGCCCAGATGTTTTGAAAAAGGCGAGTGCTCGGAGACATTAAAAAAAAAAGACAATCATCTTTTTTGGTCATGTTATGAGAAGAGGGAAACTGGTACATGTTGTGACCACTGAAAAAAAATATGTGGAAAGAGAGACAGAGGAAGACAACGCGAGAAGATTATTGACGGCCTTTTGTCATGGCATGGAGGTGTGTCAACACATGAACTGATACATGCAGCTGCGGATCGCAGATTGTGAAAAGGTATGATCGCCCACGCCAGCTGGCAAGGCACTTGATGATGTTGATAACACACACACATATAATATAAAAATTATTTCATTCTTTTTGGCTATACATGTTTCTTCATTCCACTGGCTAGACATCAACGTGGCTGCTTCAGGAAACGACAGTTCAGTGATTTTTGCGTATTCGTGCTTTTTTTTTTTTAAATTTATGTGTGCTTTAATGAAGGCTCTGTGGTCGCAACGTTCATGTTTCGCTTGTGTTTGTTAGATTATTAGGTTTGTTAATCTACTTTTGGTTTGTATTTGTTATATTCTAAAGTTTGTTAATCTACTTTTC